GTGAGGATTTTTTCCAAAGCAGGGCAAATTGTTACTGCTAAATGAAGTAGTTTACAAGGTGAAAAAGTCTCCCAAATCATATTTTTAAATTATAATTTGTAATAGGTATCTACATAATTTGCAAACATTTTTTAACTATTACCTATAACTGCATTTGAGATGATTTTGTTAATTTAATAATTTTTCCGTTTATTTATGACTAGGAGAAATAAACTTTATTCTATTTTTAATATCTTGATAATAATTTATTGCAGTTTTAAACAATTATATGTCCTATTAAAATATTCTACAGTATTCTAATAATAAACATTTATTTTTACATTTGCGGCTCACTTATTCCTAAATTATATTTCTGTCGTGATAATCAGTCAACGTTATATGGAGAATTCACACATACACATATGTAGTATGTAGTCCAATCGTGGGTCGTGGTATTTACCTCTGACTCTGGAGCTGGAGTGGAACAATCGAGCTCGGCTCTCGGCTCGTTCAATGTTCAATGTTCATTGCTCGCTCAGTGCCGGTCACAGATTTGGTGCCGGTATGAACGATGAACGATTAGCTCCTTCGTTGCGAGTCGTTCGTTCACGGCACAAGATTATGTGCCGGCACATTCGTGCGAGTCGTTCATGAGCGACCCAGCTCTAGTAAACAGAAAAATAAACCTTAGTAACTCTTTTGCCAGAGGGGGGGTATGGTTTTTTTTCCTAAATAAACATTCGAACTGCTTCCAATATTTTCATCAAGATTTCCTCGTAATTGTCGAAATTTTGCATAAATATTAAAGAAACTGAAAATTTTAACATTAAATTTTCTTGATGTCCAGGCCCTTATCTGTGGTTTCATTTAAAGTTGTCGTCAGAATAAAATAGTTTTAAAAAATAATGCAACATTTTAAACAATCCTTTATTTTCTATCATTAATCAGTCTACTGTTAATACATATAAAAATGTGAAAAGCTACAGGAAAATAGAATCTATAATAAATCTTTTCTACATAAAATAATGCTATGTAACGTACTAACGTATATAATAAATAAACTGGTTTATAAACAAAACAATATTCTATATACCGAGTGTTCAAAAAAACTTGACCACGTACAGGATGTGTTAATTGTTAATTTTGACGTCTTTTGAGGGTATCTTGTATTTTACAAAGATTTTTGAATTTCTATTTTCTAGAGAGACTATACAATTCTAGGCATAGAAACCAGTGGCATACGTCATATTTTTTTATAATTTACACTTTTTCAGTTATGTTATAACCCAAATTATTTGCCAGATATAAGCCATGCACATACCGAACTCATTAGTTGCCGTCAGTATATTTTATAGGTTATATCTCACCAACACTCAAAATATCTAGATAGACATACAAATAGTTCAATTATTCGTTGATGTTTCACCTACAGCATATCGATGACTACTAACAAATTCGAAACTGGCGATACTCCTGATTAATAATCTTAGGTTTTTACTTACGAGCCCAGGCTCATAATAGTTCGGCCGGTAATAATTTGTAACTATATTTTTGAAGATAATATTAAACTTAAAACAAAGGTGCAAAATTTAATCAAAACTATTACAACTATATTCAAAACTATACTTTTAAGTAGCTGAAACTGAAAATTATAATTAAATTACGTAAAGAAACAAATCAGTATAACAAAAAATGTATTTCACGTGGTAGGTCATAATAGTTCGGCCGCTTATCGTAATTGCCATGAAATCGAGCTGACTAGTTAAAACAAAGCAATTATGAAATATATCAACAAGACAGCTGTCAGTATTAGTTTCAAATCATATTTAAAGCATAATGCCTCGTGGTAAGCCCTTAAGTAAAGATTTTCGTTTGTCCATCATTAATGCCCATAAGAAAGGTATTTCGGCACGTCGAATTTCAGTTTCTCATTCTGTGCCGCGTTCTACCGTTCAAGACATTATCAATTTATATAAAACTACTAATGGAGTTGATCAAAAAATTAAAACCGGCCGACCATCTACAATTACAGAAGCAAATAAAAGAGCTTTACGGAGAATTGTGAAAACAAATCGGAGATCTAACACTAAAGAGATAACTGTTTTATGGAGAGAAAGTATAGCCAAGGATATTTCGTTGTCTACAACTAAAAGGACTATTAGAAAAATAGGATACAAATTTTATAAGGTAAAATTTATTCGTTTTTTTTTTGGTGAAACTGTTGGCATCCAATTTTTTTTTAACAGGCAAAAGAAAAGCCACTACTGACAACTTTACAAAAACGCAACAGACTAAAGTGGGCTCGGGAACATCAGAACTGGACTCAAAGACAGTGGTACAATATAATTTGGAGTGATGAGTCCAAGTTTGATGTTTGTGTGGGCGACTCCCGTAAAAGGGTGTTACGAACATCCAGCGAAGCATTCCATAATGACTGTCTAGTAAAAAAAGTAAAGTTCCCAGCATCAGTCATGATATGGGGTTGTATGTCTGCAAAAGGAGTGGGCAAATTACACTTCATCGATGGAATTGTTAACGCCCAAAAATATAAGGAGATATTGGAAGCAAGTTTTTTACCATCTATCGCGCAATGTGCAGCCGATGACGGTGACTTCATGTTCCAACAGGATGGTGCACCTTGCCATACTGCGAAAACTGTGAAGACGTGGTTTCAAGAACATAACATTCCTGTTCTAAAATGGACGTCTTCTAGTCCAGATTTGTCTCCAATCGAGACACTTTGGCACAACATGAAGAAGCAACTTCGAAAAAATCCAGCGCGGACAGTACCCGAATTAAAAGCTACTTTGCAAAATGTATGGAATAATATTCCACCAGAAGAGTGTGCACGACTTGTGGATACAATGCCCAGTAGAATTAAGGCGGTTATTGCTAATAAAGGCGACGTAACGCAATATTAGGTTTTGGCCGAACTATTATGACCCACCACGTGAAATACATTTTTGGTTATACTGATTTGTTTCTTTACGTAATTTAATTATAATTTTCAGTTTCAGCTACTTAAAAGTATAGTTTAGAATATAGTTGTAATAGTTTTGATTAAATTTTGCACCTTTGTTTTAAGTTTAATATTATCTTCAAAAATATAGTTTCAAATTATTACCGGCCGAACTATTATGAGCCTGGGCTCGTATATAGCCTGTGGAGTAGTTGTTTCCCACAATATCATTAGTTTAAAAGTTTATTTCGTCTACTGTAATCATGCCCTCATAGCACCTACAGTGTAGGTCACTTTATTCAGTAGGTACAAAGCATTGTGTGAGTAGGCATTATTAAGTAGCACTGACATTTAATTGACATGTTTCAATGTGACAATGTGGGTGAAATATAACCTAAAAGGTATATTTGGTATATTTATATAAAACCTAAAAATTTGGAAATAGATGCATCATGAAAAATGGAGTAAATATCGTAAAAAAAATTTTTTCTACACTCATTTCCGAGAAAAAAATTATTGAAGCTGTACTATTTTCAACCATTACATCGCTGAGCTACTGTAGTATCTAGCGTCATTCGCATACATGACCCCAGGTGATTCCGAATACTGAAATCCGATTTTACAATCGTCAATGCGATAGTGTTTACAATAGTTTTTCAAGTGTTAAAAATGGCTTATGTGAATAGCAACTCGGAGTTGATGAATATCGTTTTAATTTATAGTCAAACAAGACAATATTTGTGTTAGTTCGTAGAAACTGGGTAAGACGGGCCCATATATGTTTACATCTCAACAATTAAAACCACAAATTAATTTTATTAATTAATAATAATAGCGGCAAAAGCACTTGAATTTGCTAAAATAGGTGTTATAAAATTTTATTTATTTTTCTTTCCTTGAAAAAGAAATTCTTTCAATTTTTATCCGTTCATTTTTTATTACGCTTTGCCGCCGTGCCGGTCGCCGACTTCATGCTTTCCCTTGTGTAAGGTCAGATTTTTTTTAATAAGTTCTGAATCACCCTGTATATAATATATTAAATTGCAGTATTACTTAATACTTGCTGGTATTACAGATTAGTAGGTCACTCTCTGCCAGTAGGCATCGAATAGCAATGATATTTAAGGTATTACATATATTTTGTAGATTATATTCGACCCATTCAAAACATGTCAGTAAATACCTAGATATCCAAATAGCTAACTGGTTCATTGGTCATCTCATATCGATTAGAACTGATAAACAGCATGTAACCAGCAGAGTAGTTGTTTCTCACAATATCATTACCTCAAATATATTTTTTTTACAAAAAACAATTTTTGTGTATGTCCTCGAAAGTGCCAAAATTAACTCGCCCTATAGAGATCGAGTTTTCAAATAACGTTAAGACACTCTCTGAACACACTGCGAGTATTCGTAACTAAAAAATAGGAACTGACTACATCCGAGTATTCTCCAGAACAACTTGTTCATGTTTGGGCGGCGCCAGGGCATTCCTCAACTTATCCCAGAACATCTTCTGCTTCTTCTCTTCCAGCTCCCACTGCAGATAAATCCTCGTCTTCAACAAGTACCGCAACGTGGGCGTCAAATGATTCCCGCTAACCGGCCCCAACTTGATCAGGACCAACGTATCATCGACGTACTCTCCGTTCTGATCCTCAAAGAACAACCTGTGGTGTTCCGCTATTTGGCTCTCCCACCGACACCACTGAGACTTGGCATAATTGTCGCTGATAATCAATAAAGTCCTTCGACTCTTCGCCACGCTTTCCAAGACGCTCTCCGATATCATGGCTCCGATCTGGAAGTCCCTGTCGTAGACGCAGAGCTTCAAAAAGGGGTCATAGTTTTCTAACATCGACACCAGTCTCACTACAAAATTCCTGTCTTCGTTGCTGTACGAGACAAAGGCATCATAGATATAGTTATTGTAACCCTTTTTCTCAGGATTCGGCTTAATCTTTCCTTTCCTGCTGAGGTAGAGCCTGGTTAGGAAGACCCAGTACCGTATATGCCAACGGTAGTAATACATGACGATGGCTAGGAATATAAAAATTAACAATAATAACACTAGGGGCAGTACGACAATCAGTTTCGAAATTCTTCTTGGAGCACAAACGATGGTACCATTACGGACGCTATCAAAATATTCTGCCAGGGAATAATTTTGTGCAGACTCCGGGAAGGCACAAAACGCATTTATATTTGAACTATCAATTTCTCTATGTGTAGGGTGCTGTCGATACCACTCGTGGAATAAGTGGTAACTTTCACAATCACAGGAAAACGGATTCATTTCTAGTTCTAGATCCGTTATATTAGAAAAATCATCCAACATAGCTTCGCTCACTAAACTAAATCTATTTCTATTCATAATCACAGTCTTCAAATGGGAATTCTTACTAAAGATTCTATCTTGCCAGGCGAGAAGTTTATTGTCTGACAGGTCTATGGTCCCTAACCTCACTAATGGAAGGAAAACTGTGGGGGCAATGCTTTTAATTTCATTCCTTTCCAATCCCAAGTGTTCCAAGTTTTTCAGATGGACGAAAGGATTCCCATTCATGGAGAAATAAGTAATTCCGCAACCTCCCAAAAGCAAAATCTTCAAATTTTCCAGACCTCTGAAGGTGTTTATTTCGATTCCAACTGGGTAGTTATTAGTCACAAAGTAATTGTTTTCCAGGTTCAAGAATTGCAGATTTGTTAAAGGAACGAAGGAATCATTGTGGATGTGATAGATCGTTCCATTCTTCAAGCCTAGAACACGAAGATTTTCCAACCCTACAAAGCTCGTGTTGAAGAGATTATTGAGCCTATTAAAGTTCAGGTTCAGGTAGGCCAATTGAGTCAAATTGACAAACTTCCCACTCTTTATACAAAAATATGAGGGGTAAAATAAATTTCCAGAGTTCTGTTGCAGATCTAAGTAAGTGAGGTTGCTTGGTATTGCATCCTGTGGAACAGATTGGAACTTATTTTCACTCAACAGAAGGGTTTTTAAGTTTGGCAGGTTGTAGAAAGCTCCAGCTTCGGCCGTCAGAGCTAAGACTTCCCTTAAATCCAGTAATTGTAGGTTAGGCATATATGGAAAAGTATCTTTGGAAATAACTTCGAACTGGTTACGAGCTAAGTTCAAGTGGCTGATGTTTGAATTGGCTATAACTTCCATAAGCTTCCTAGGAGGGTTTTTCCTGAATCCTACCGAGTACAAATTGAGTTGCTTCAGTGGCACACCTAATTTTACAGTTCTTGAGATGACAGCAGTGATAACTGTAGTATTGAAGTTGTTCTCTCCCAAGCGCAAAGCTTCCAAGTTCTTTAAGGGAGTAAAACAGTCTGGATGCATGTGTTCCAACCTGCAAAGGACTAGGCCTAGTTCCTTCAATGAGGAATTCTCCATTGGACTGAAATCGTCACTGGAAATGTTCTTGAAGTAGTTTTCATTGAGGGACAACTTGAATAAATTTGGAAGGATTTGCAAGGACAAAGACTGTGACACGTCGTAAATGCTTTCAAATCCGTTCTTAATAAGATACAAAGTCTTTAAATTGACTAGGCCCTCGAAAGATCTGGGATGGAGAGTTTTCAGCACGGGATTGAAGGAAATAGAAAGATTAGTCAGTTTGGTCAAGTTGGAGTTGAAAGTGCCGGGCAGTATCGTCGTTAAGTTATAATTGCCATCCAGTTGTAGGGCTTCAAGATGAGGTAAAGAGCGGAAATCACCTGGCTTCAACTCCACTACATGGGTACCAGTTAATTTCAAAAGGGGGGTGGTGACGTTTAGTTCCAAAGGTACTCGTTGACAGAGCAGTCTGCCGAAGCAGACTACGTACACATTGGGGTATTCTCGGCATAGGCACCCACTTTCAGCATCTCTCCCTAGGAAGATTGGAGCAGGACCTTCGTTTTCGATAGAAATTTTCGGCCTGGATACTAGGGGCGGACAGAAAATTCCATCACATGGTTCGAAAGTCTGGGTTGCAGGAAGGAAGATTAGAATCGCTGGCAGGATTGGCGAAAGCAGCATATTTCTTGGTTCCAAGAGACATGACTTCTACTCCTGAAATTAAAAATTATTGTTAAAAAAATACACATTATAGAGATGTTTACATATCTAATTAAAAAAATTGATATTGTTAACATTAAAAAAGTCTGTCAATGTCAACGAATTTGTTTTTTTTAGTATTTTTTTGTCGCTTCTGTGTATTCTAAAATGTGAACTGACGAAAGTAATGACACATCGGATACCTTTCATCAAATATTGAATATTTCAGAAAAATATGTTAAATTTGTTACTAGAAAAGTGGTATGAAATCGTACGTAGTCTTAAGAAATATCTAAAAACATTAAGATTGCCAATTTTGCTAAACTGATCTTGTTCCAATAAACTTTTCTGCACTGACACTGTGCAAGATATAGGTAATAGTTATGTATAAATGTCATTCTCTATTGTAGGAACTGCTAAAACGAGACAACAGACTATCTTTAAAAGCCCCATGCCATGACCCATGTGTGCAGTACAGAGAGTTTTTACGTTTTATCTTCAATCGTATAAACAATTATTGTAAAAATTGGCCATAACTATTTGTAGAACTGTATTGATTTTCTATAAATGTGACAGTCACAGCTAATGTCCCAGTAAACATGAAATATGTAAGAACTAAGAAACATTTCAATAATACCTAAATTGTAAATAATTGAAATATATATTTTTTGCATTTTTGCAATGCTTCAATAAAACATTTCTTAAACATTAAATTTAAATTGACTTGAATAGATTATCGGTGAAATAAATTTTTGAATCGTTTTAGAAAAGCATAAAATAAATATGATATAACATAAATAAATATAAATATAACAAATAAACATTTGATATAGTTTTCAAAATTTATTTGAATACATGGTTTTCGCAGGAATTTTTTTCTTTTCATCATTTACATCAATTTGAAAATAGTGAAAAAAATGACTTTTTACAGTTCTTTAGAAAATCTACCTACCTAATATTTATGACAAAAAAACTTACTCTACTAAACTATACACACACAAAAATAATTTTAAAAACTGCCTCTCTTGACATGATATCATAGAGAAAGAGAAGCTTAGGAATTACTACATTCTGTGGTTCTGAAGGCACCACAATATATGTACTGTAGTATTACATTTAACAATGCCAAAATCTATTTAAATTTATATGAAAACATTTTCAGGGACAAGATTATAGCCTCAATACCTCAATATTAAATTGTATTTCTTTTTAATCTACTTAATATAATGGATTTATGGTAAATTAAGTTAATGTATGTCTAATATTCCGATATTAAATTGTGGTGCAAGGATTCTACTTTTATGTTCGATTCCTACCAAATTATAGAACACTAACATAACCAGCGTTTTCGGCGGGTCTAAATTCGTGTTCATCGATATTTTTATCGAAATTTTGTGAATTTTCATATTTTTAGACATAAGTCTAAAAATATGAAAATAATTCAAGACATAAGTCTTGAAAATTATGACAATTTCAGAAAGCTTAAACAAACACTTCGCATGTGGACATTGGGCTTTTTTTCACGATTCAATATTAGCTCTGTTAATTTGAAGATTTTAGGATTTTTAAGTTAGCTCAGTTAGCTGAAAATGGCGGTAATTGTAAATCTGAAAGAAGTCTGAACAGATGTGATAAATGTCTAAACATTTTCAGTCTGTCCAGACACTTTTCAACACATGTCTGGACATTTAAGGACATTTATACAGGGTGGGCCACCAGTAACGCCTCGGTCGCTAGTGACCAAACGGCAAATGTTATAGAAACCTGTTTAGGTGGGTATGTGTAGGTTGATTACGGCTACATTTTAAAAATATTTTGAAATATACAGGGTGTCCAGGAAAAGCGTACCATATCAAAGTTGTTTTTTTAAATGGAACACCCTATATTTTACTGTATATTTGAAAGCACCGTAAAAAAATAGGTGAACTTTATTAAAGGTTCTGCATACCTAGGACTTATAGTTTGTGAGATATTTCAACTTTAGTGAAAATGCAAGCATAGCGTAGAAATTTAATACTAGCAATAAAATAATAATTTTAAGGAAGCAACTTTGGAGGGTCTATTTTAGATCCTTGAAGTTATAAATTGTTATATTTGTCGTCACTTAGTATTATACAGGGTGTTCAAAAAACTGCTGAATACTTCTCTCAACTTTAAACAGCAATAACTTGGTTATTTTAAATGGAACACCCAGTATATTTTTACTTTGGGGGTTGGTATATTTAAAACTCTTTCAAACTGTGTATAGGTTCCCTATACCTATCTCTAACGGTATTGGAGATATTTATGCCATTTCGTTTTTTATCGATTTTTTTTGTAAGATGTATCCACGTGTCTTTATCGAGGTCTTTACTGAATTGGTTTGGGTTCTTCTTGATGACGTCTCTTTAAATATATTGAGAAAAATGAGGATGCAATTAGATGGCGCACCTGCAAATATATATTTTTTTAAATCTATAACATCATTTAATTAAATTTATTTAAAACGAATCTAAACTTGATACTAAATTTATATAAAAGATATATAAAAAGTTTCATTAGTTGTTAATAAATCAAATAAAATCTTACTAATTGCCAGATTAAAATATGACATTTACCTGTGAGAAATATCAACTACTAATCTATGTATTACGTAAGTCATATGCTAAAAAAGTTTTCCAATAGGGAGGATAACGTTGCTGAATTCCATTAAAGTCACATTTTTTTCACATAAGCGTGATAAGGACTCAAATCAATATACCATCATTATCGGCCATTAGAATTTCCAAGAAATCATTTACGTCAGATTTTAATTTCGCATCTTTAAATAAAATATTTTTTATCATTTATCACAACATTTACATATTCAATATTGTAACAAAATGTACCTAATGGACGGTAACTAGTTCTTCAAATAACAGTGATAATTTTAGAACGTTTATCACAATATTTAAAAAAAAGTGCTTAATTGAAATTGTCAAGAAGGCCAACAATTCTGTGCACCTCTTTCAATTATTGCAAGATAAATAACAATAAATTTTAATATTTTTAAGTCCGGTACTTCGAGTCTCGGATAAGACTTGATTAACTAATCAGGCGATTAGACTGTGAATATACATTTATAAAATGAAAAAGAATATGTATAGTCTAATCATTTGATTAAGCAAGGCTTAACGGAGACTCAAAGTACCGAACCTTATAGTCTATTTTACTGATAATGTTTGGTTTATAAAAAAGTATTTGTCCTAACTTACCCGTTACTTAACCTTAATCTTAGTCCTAAAAATTTAAATGTACAGAATGTAATGAATCGGTTTATAAAAATCTTAACCGTGCCCTAGTCCTATACATTACATTTTGTACATTTAAATTTTTAGGACTAAGATTAAGGTTAAGTTAAGGCTAAGTTAGGACTAATACTTTTTTATGAACCAACCATAACAAAGTGGTGATTGCAGAGGATGAAGAGAAAAGGCGTCGAAAAATGTAACTTCCGAATGTTATTCAACAAACAAGGGACTAAAGCGAGGACGAGATCCAAGAAATAATAAATAAAGGCATATTGGAGCACTTAATTCCGTTTTATGGGAAAAGGACATGAGGAAAGAAACTAAAATGCGTATTTACAAAACTATTGTCCAGTGTGTTATGATATACGGTGGGGAAATATGGGATGTAAGCAAAGTCAATAAAAGAAAATTAATGCTAACAGAGATGGACTTCCTCAGAAGAAATATTTTACATTAGTTCAATGTTTTAATGAAATACTATAACTATTAAGGCAAGCCTACTTATTTCTTTTATTTAACATTTGGAATGGCATGTTCTAAAAATATTCCGATCTTTTATAGCATTCATAACAGTTACACGTATTGTGAAGCATCGTTTGACACATTACATAATAAGTAAACATAATTTATATTAAGATAATCCGCGGCAGAACCTTGAAATGCTTAGGTGAAGATTATTTATTTATAACTTAAGCAAATCTAATTTGTGAGATGCCAGATGTGTTTAAACCAAATATTAAACATAACATCTTACGCGTTATTTTGTGTACCTAAGTTAGGAATTTTAACTACAAAAAATAAGCAGGTATCAGGTGTTTTGACTACTTGTTACCGACTCATCAACAACTTAAATTAATACAATTCACTTTTTCTATACAATATTATTTAACAGTAATATTTTTCTACATGGACTTACACCATATATGTCGTCTTCAACGAATAGAAAGACGAATATGAAAAGATAAACTGAAAATAAAATAAATGACAAATTCAAGGTGAAAAACATTTAAAATATAAATAATTCTTGTGAGAGATGTGAAAAAAGGTTTAATTTGTGTTGGCATTTCTAAGAAAAAAAAAGATCTTTCATTTTATACGAAAAAGGAGCCATTTCTCAGTTATCATTAATGTTTAAATTTAGAATAAGATTACGACTATTTGAATATATCAAAAATAACTTCAGTACTTACTATGCATTTGTTGAAAATATAATTTTAAATGCTATGTTATTAGGAAAATCCAAAAAAGCTGTTGGTGTGAGAATTTTTTGTTTTCCGAGTCAGTAACCTCCTTAAAAATAAAAAATTGCTATACCAACAATTTATGATGGTTAGATTGTATATAAAATTGTATTTCTAACAAAATATTCCTGTATTTTTTTGTGAGAATACTTTTGGAAATATTTTTGATAAAATGTTAACTAAAGATAGCTAGGTTTTCGCATAAAATGGAAGATATTTTATTTATCGGAAATACCAACCGAAATTAAATGTATTTATTCAATTTCTAAAACACTCAGTTGTGTCGAAATTCTAAGGTTGTTAGTGATGGCGTTTCCCGGTATCTCCGCCACTGGTAGTCAAACTTGTGTACCTCAATAAATTTTTGGTCATAATTAAGTCGTAGCCCAAGTTTCAACAATCAATGTCAAGCATCTTAAGTGATAAAAATAGGAAACTCGTACCAAGCATTTTTTATTGAAAATTTTATTAACAAAAATCCTTCGAAATCGCTCAAAAGCCATAA